GACGACAGCCGCCGGCCGTCCGGCCAAGGAGTCCCTCCTGGGCCGCGGCCAGCACGGCGGCGGCGCGGCTCCGAACCACCTTCCGTCGGAGACGGCACCGCTGGTCTCGGACCGTGCGGGCGCCGGCAGCTCGTCCCCGCCCATGACGCCGCGGAGCTTGGGCAGCCCGTCATCGTCGACGTCTTCGTCGAGCGGTGCACCAGACAACAACAACCGGGCGAGCTTTTCGAACCCGCTCACCCAGGGCTACAACCTGCTGAGCGAACCGCCCCCGCTGGGCAAGCTGCACGAAACGAGCATCTGATGACTGTGGGGGCTGTGCGACGCAAACTCCTCCACGCCCCTTCTTCCTGCGTGCCCCTCGGAAAACCTCCCGCGGTGGCCTCTGGTCTTTTTTTTTTTCTTTCGGGGCGGTCCTTTGGTGGGGGGATGGCAAGGCAATGCCTCCGTGGCCCGGCTTCGAGGCGACGAGTTGCCGAGATGGCCGACGTTATTGTTTGATCTGTCGTAACGCTATCTCTTCCCTTTGAGCTTCATTCCAAATTTAGCGTAAAGTGAACTCGAATATTTTACAGTTTGGGTTGTTCTTGCACACAAGACGAGCATACTACATGATTGGCCGTCCATTGCAAGGGAAAACAGTGCTGCTGTAAGGCGGCGTTGCTTTTCCTCCGTGTTTCGTATCTAAAATGATGGTGCGATTCATACTTATGTGAAAGTTATCCCTTAAGTATGAAATAGACGAACTCCTTAAGTTCTTTACGTCGTTCGTGCAAGTGCGGCCATAAGATAAAAATCGTTGCCACGAGGCGCATGAATCTCGCCATCCCTCTGCGTTCCGCTCCCTCCTTTCGTTTCCTTTCCCTCGGGGCATCTAGGCCTTCGCACAGGGTCGGCTCTTCGGCAGACTGTTGTGGCAGCTGCATAACAACGGTGCTTCCTACTCTGGGCTTACTGGAAGGGGGTTTTGGTGGGCGTGGCTTACTCAGGCTCCCAGTTAGTTTCTCGCAACAAGCACCATCCGAGAGCATCCAAGGGAGCTAGCTGGGATGGGTGCATAAAGGGTTGCCGAAGGTAATTTCATCACTTCCTTTCTCTTTCCTGGATAGTCTAAAGTGACCATGGTATTGGGCAAAGGTATCTCCTCGCAGCAAAGCGAGGGAAAGTGCACTTGATGAGATCGTTAAACAAACCGTCCGAAAGTCCCGGAGGCCTTTTGGGGGGGGGGGGAGGGAGAGGGGAGGAGGAAGAGGAGGGAGGGAGGGAGGGAGGGAGGGAGGGAGGGAGGGAGGGAGGGAGGGAGGGCAGGGGTGGGGCAGGTGGAGGGCAGAGGGTAGCACAGGTTTTTGAGTGTGCCCACAACTTTTGGGCCCAGGCGCCTACCCTGTGCGGAGGGCAGTGCCTTCCGCTCTCGTGAGATGAGTCCTGCCTTCTCGACCTGGTAGATGCAATTAGTACCGTTCACTCGGGTCCCCAGACTTCCCAGTTCCCTGGTCCCCCCTCCCCCATACACACTTGCAAAACACTAACAACGAGGACAGCAGACTTTACGCGCGAGAAGCGACACATGGGGCCGCCGGGAAGAAGTCGGTCACTGCAGAGCGCCGGTGTGTGGACGAGAGCCCGCAATCTCGCACCAGTTCCGTGTGCTTGGAGGGATGAACAGACCCGGGAGATTGCCTGCGGCTGTGCTGTACAGGATGTCCGTTTCTGTTTTACACTGATGTGCGTGAATGCAGGAACCATCTGAGCAGTGGCAGTCCTTCTTCAACAAGGCTTTTTTTGGGTGTTTCCCTTGGTTTTATCATTCAGAGCAGTGTGCTTGGTTTGTTCGCTTTCGTTTTTTTTTTTCTTGAACTTCCTTCCTTGCTCAGAGTTTTGTCGTCTGTCCGGTCCAGTATTTTTCTGCTGTTGACGCTCTCTGCCTTTTGCCGAGCCGGCTCACACTTGAATGGCCATTCTGGCGATACCATTGTTTTTACCTTGCTTTACAGGGGAGCTTTGTTGTTCTTGTTGTACGTTGGACCTTCTGCAAAGGCGCCCAAGAAGTGTGATATTTTCGAGCACACGTCGCAACATGCACGACTGAAACCCTTTTTCCTCTCTCTTTAAATGTCTGTCTCCACAAAGATTGTCCATTCTAACATAGACGCGGATGTGCGAGTGTGCACATGTCTATGCTTGCACACATTTCATCTTTGTAGGAGGTTGGGGTTTTCCTTACTTTTCGTCGTCTGCTCATTGTTCATGGTGATGTGTGGTTACACTTCATGGTTCTTCATCCTTGCGGGGTGGGACGTTCTTGAGCTTTCTCGAGAACGCGGAAACGACATGTTTTTGTTTTTCAGCGGTGATACTCGTGTTGCTGATGCTGCCATTTCTCGTTTTGCGCCTTTTGAAGTGAGCACTCATTGCCCGTCGTTTTCACCGCTGGCCATTGAGAAACGTACCGGCTGGGGGCAAATCGCGCTCGCAGACCACGTAACCTTTCAGCAAACGAATGCAACTGCTGAAGCAGACAAGCAAACTAGCACTACTAAGTCTCTTTTCAAAGCACACTGGAAAAGAGAGCAGCTTCCTTGCAGTAGTTCCAGTGACAGCCTTCGTAGAAGCAGCGCGTAGGTTCTTTGCGTTCTCGTCGTCAAACCTGAATGCGTGTTCCCTCCTCTCACCGGTTCGGTTGCCGCAGAGTGATGCTGCCATTTTCCCCTGACCGTAGTGGGGAAAGCAAACTAATCACTGCACGTTCAAATTTTTCTAGGCATTGAAACGCGTTTGGCCTGGGGAGGTCGCTTGAGTTTATGGCACATATGCATGCATCTTTGGCACATGTGTATGTGTGGGCTCCCATGTGCAGGGGTGCGTGTGTGCACACCCCCTGGTGGATGGGAAGCAGTGAATATGCATGTGGTTTGGGACCTGCATGTCTGCGATCGAGCAGCTGTCGACCATTCTTGCCATTTCATTTCCGGCTCTTTTTGCGTTTCGGGAAATTACCCTGGTTGCATGCTGGCCGTTCGAGGCTCAGCATGGTGGAAAAGGTAGACTGTGGTTTCGCGAGGCTCCCCCGTGCAAAGCGGGGTTCCCGCAATATCTGCGAGCAGTTGGCATTTTGGCGAGCGGTTCAAATGCCAGTCTTCCTTTTGCTCAGAAAGCGGTAAGCTTTGGGAACAAGGTCATGGTGGAACGCAAAGCAGCTTGTGCTCCCTCAACGCCACCCCGGCTTCCTGCAGGGGCCTCTTGGCTGCCTGGCGAAGGGCAGCCATCTTGTTTCGGTACTATCGATGTGCACTCCATCTGTATTAGGAAAGTGGCACTAGAAACCAGCAGCCTCGTGCAGAGGTCACAAACTGCACGCCGGTTCTCCAGTGAGCTTGCTTCTTGAAAAGGGCAAAAAACAAAGCACGAACAAACTAGACTAATAGTCGAGCCACCGCGGACTAGAGACGAGTACAAATCTCTTTTGCTCCCCGACTCTTCTTCCCGAGGATGCACCTGCACTGTAGTTGGGGACACGGGAGCAAACGAACAGCTCTTGTATTTCGTTTGATTTGGGTAGGAGCTCTAGTTGCGGTAGGCCCCTTTCCGCGGTTGGCATGTCTATGTGTGTACACTCTTGCGTGGCTGTGTGCGTGCATGTGCGACTAGTGGGCATTTAGCCGGGGTGAGGCAGCCATCTACGTTTCTCGGGAACGTGATGTCGAGTGGGTCTTGCAGCTTTCTTCTCGTAGTGAGGGCAGTTCCATAGTTGGCTAGCTTGTGTTTCGAACACCGAGACGTAGAGCAACTTGAACTTAACTGTCTTTTGGAGGAGCTCCCGCAACTGAAGCAATACCATAGCACTTTTGTAAGATACTTTTCCGCCATGGTTACCGGGGACGCAGGGGTTTTTGGAATTTTCCTTGCTGCCTGTCAAGAGTGTGGTGGCCACTTGCATTGTTGGCTGGCAGGCCGGTTGGCTTGTCGGTCGGAGGGACGATTGTTTTGGGCTCTAATGGGCCGGCTTGGTCTTCTTGTGTGGTAGCATTTGGAGCGGAAATGTTTGTTTAACTGAGGACTCATTGCAAGGTGGGATGGAGATTATATAAGGCCATGTTTAGTTCTACCTTCTGTCACTAATAATTCCCATTTCCTTAACACCACACAATTCTTCCTTTAACAGAAATTTGAAAGGACTGCCGTTTTCAGTCTCTTGTTGAGTTTTTGGCACGATTGTGGATTGTTATGGATGCCTTGTTGAACTTGTTCTATTGTGCGCAAAGACAACTTGCTGCATTTCGGAGAGGTGTTGCAGAGTTTCTCGCATTAGTGTAAATACAATGGGAAACAAGAAACTAGTATAGTGTCTGTTTCACTTCTAACAAAAGAGCAAAATGAACATGGTGAAGATTTCTTTTTTGTTGTTTATGAGCAGCAGATGGAAACCTGATGTACAAAAAAAAAATAGTGAGTGAAATTCTGTACAGGAGGTACACTAGAACCCTATATTAAACTGGAGACCCTGTGGATGTCGCAGCTTCGTCGTTGCACATCTCCACTTCTCCGTTCATCACAACCGTTTCCTGTGTGCCTGTGCTGCGGTGCGGCATTAACAAAGCCACTGTTTCAGTGGAGAAGGAGAATGCCATCTTAGCCGTGCCTCGCATTTGAGAATGCGGGACGCAAGAAGTCCCGGTCAGGGTTTGCCCACCACAAGGCTGGCTTTTGGAGTCTGCAGAGGAACGACTAGCCACGTCGGAAGCAGCTTTCTCACACGCAGTTGCTTCTGTAAAGAAAGCAGTTGCTCACCCACAACTTGCTCACACGACACGACCAGTCTGTGTTTACTTCAGCTTCTTCGTTGTTGTTTTTTTTTTCTTCCGATTATTTGCGTCTTATTTCGAGTTTTGGTATTCACCAATTTGTTTGGGAACCGTGGAAACCAGGGGAGGGAGGGAAGAGTGGTGTTTCAGAAGCCTTGGTTAATGAGCTCTCATCACCGCCTGATGCTATCTCCCAAGGTGATTGGCGGAGAGTTGCAGGATCGATTGATTCCAGTTCCCTACAGCAAGAGTTCAACAGATCAAGCTGTAAGAGTCTTTGAGATGTTGGAACCCTCCCTCTTTTCCTGCACCCCGTGCCTGCTGCGTCGCCCCCCCCTGAGTTGGACTCTGTAGCCGCCCTTTGGTTTTCAGTAGCCTAGTGTGCGACTTACGACCTGCGCTAGGCCCCCTCCACATGCCTGGCTTCACTTCCGGCGTTCCACCCGCTTGGTTGATATGAGCTCCTTTTACGGAGTTTGGGAAGCCACTGCTCCAATGTGCCGACTCTGTCTGTGGGGTTGTAACAGGCACTGTTTCACGTCAGATAGTGGGATGGACTTAATTTCAAGCTTAGGCTTTTGTGCTGTGAATTTGGGTGGCCAACTCTGGAAAGGCTTTGTGGAAGAGAATTCGGTGAAGCCAGGCACAGGGGCTTTTTTTTTTTTAATTTTTGCTTGTTTACTAGAAGAGCTCCTAAGCTGCATGTCAGCTAGTTGTTGATTGCTCTTGGTCTATGGGGGCCCATGTGGCTTAATGCGGTTGGAGTGAAGTACTTGTGGTTATGTGATTTGTGGTGGAGTCCTGTGGTGTACTGCCCCTTCAGATGCAGTTTTTTTTAATCTGTATGTAAGCACAAATGGTATATTTATGTATCTTCTTTCTCTCCACAATTCGATTTGTAATCATTTGTACCACAAATGCCTTCTGCATTCGTAGTAACTAAAGTGTTCAGCTTTTTTTTTATTTTGAATATTGAAAGCTGTTCAAGATGCACTGTGCTTTAAGTTCTTTTAAAGCTTTAGGGTGCCAAAGAAAGCAAGATTATAAATGGCTGAAATGCATGAACCAAAAGTTCTGGTGTCTGTCAGTAGGATGTAAACCTCATGAGGTGCATATTCAGGTGCATTAAAACAAAATTACTCTGTTAATTAGTCGGGGTGCTAAAAGTTTAACGCAACTTAAATGAAACTTCAATAAAAGGGTACACAACAGGGCAGAACTAAGTAAAAGAAAGTATTACGTTCTTCAATCTAAATTTTGGTCATTTGCTAAGTTTGAAAAACTTTGCAGATGACATGCTTGTTCTTACAACCGTTAAGGTCTCCGTAGGTCCCAGTTGGGCTTTGAGCAGTTCACTTTGAGTGATCACTCAAACATAAATTATTACAATATTTTCTGGTTTATAGTCTGTAGCTGTACAGGGTGTCCCAAAAAATATTTTACAAGGTTTTTTTCATTGCAGGAATAAACTATGCATCACTGAATGCCAATTTTCCACCCAAATATAGCTCTAGAGGTCCAGACCACATGCCAAAGTTTCATCACTAACTGTTATCTGATTGAAAAGTTATAAATAATTTTTTTTTTAAAGTTTTCAATGGGAAAATTGTGGCCGACCGAGCTCTCGAATACATGGAGCTCTATGGCGTTTGTAAATTTTCTTTGGGGACACCCTGTTTATTCATAAAAGTTAATGTACTTTATTATGCGGACTATACAAGAATGATTTTTTCAAGATCTCTTGATATTGGTGCAGTTGTCAAGACCACACTGTTTTGTGTTGGGTGTTCGTCAGCAAGAAAAGCTGAGGCTTTCAGTGTGTTGCTTTTGATCTTCATGCTTCCGTCGGTAATGCTCAAATTTGCTGCACCCAAGTGGAAAACATGGATCAAGCTGGGTCTTGATGGCATTAACATCCACTACTTGTGCTTGTAAAATCATCTTGATGGCATTAACACCCACTGCTTGTGGTTGTAGAATCATCACTGCAGGTGAAGAAGTGACTCTGAGGTCTTTCAGAAACCAATATCGGGGCACCTATGAAATGTAGAAGAGTGTTAATGCTCATTTTCATTTTTGTTACGACTGTAGGGAGTATATAAGAACTATTAAAAAAAGATTAATTGTTTCATTAGTCATGGGATTCAGTTTTCTTTGGGAACTAACTACTTGTAATTTTTAACAAAAGTACCTAAGTAATCAATACTAAAGTAAAACACCTCATGTGGATTATGCCCCAGGCGCAGGTTATCCTGGGAATTGCACTTTTTTCATCAAAAGTTTGCCCCTGTGAACTAGACACCATATGTGGACTATAGTCAGGAAAATATGGTACTTCACTATTTCATGAAATGCCTATTGATTGGACAAGGTAGATGAATATATGAAATATAAACTCCACAATCCAAGTCTTGTTGGTGCCAAAGAAATAGGCACTTCTGCAAATGATATCCTTGCAAGAACCGAAGCGCACTCATCTGCAGAGTCTGTATACATCATGGTTAGTCTTCGAAGAATAAGCTTCGTGCACTTGCGATTTCCTGGCCTTGTACTAGGGCCTGCGAGCCGAGTTTTGTGTAAATGCGGCCTACCGTAAAATCCCAAGAGGTAGCCCACCTAACATCAAGAGAAAATCGAGTGAAAATAAGGAGTGGGCTAATTTTTGGTGTACAATCAAAAAAAGTTTTAAAAAATTGCTATTATTAGGTTGTGTCCCTTCCATACTTGTTATAGTGGCGAGGGGCAACAAAGCAAAGATCACTGTACTTCCCAGTCAGCAACGTTTGCTTAGATCCTGTCATTGCTAACTAGCCGCATTTACGCTGAGGCCGTCATTGATCCCAACACTCCTATATCACTAAGAGCGGGCTATCTTTCGGTATTTAAAAAGAATATAGCAAATCAAGCCAAAAATAGGGATGGGCTATTTTTTGGGGGTGAGGCATCTCTCGGGATTTTACAGTACATAAATTTGTAAGTAGTAATTGACGATTCAAGTTTTTGAGCTATCTAGGCATGCATCGGGTTGTTTTATAAAATCTTGCAAACTTTTTAAGTGGTGGTAGGACAGCATCCAGATTTGGGAAAGACGACGACAGGGTTGCACTAGCAAAGAAAGCTTAGTGAAACATATGTTGCATTTGGGGAAAAATTGAGAGCACTTCTTTGACTTGCCCAAAAAGTATTTAGTCTAGTTGACTCCAGCCGTCGCATTGATAGAAGTTGATACTGCACTTGGGAAGCTTAAACTTTTGGCAATGAATTTGACCAGGAATTCGAATTGCAAGCACCTCGCTCTTTTGCTCCAAGCGCTCGAGGCGACGGCACTGGCGGGGCAGTACACCTTCCATGTGGAGCTTGCGGTTCACAACTGCCCACCGTGTCTCGAGACTTACTGGGCTTAACAAAAGGCCTTTTTTTTTTAAGACTCCTGTCTTGCTTTGGAAGTCCGTTGTGGTGTCTCGTCACTCGTAAAAGCGAGATAGGTGCAACTCGGCTGCTATTCACAGTTCCACACCAAGTTCGACCACAGCCAAAACCACCAGCCGATGGAGCCACTCGAGCAGCACAAAAGGCCCAGCGTCACAACGCTCGTCGTCTGTGTATTTGCTATCGCCAACTAAACCAGTTGTGCGTAAAAAAAAAAAATGCAGGATTTTTGCACTTTTATTGGCACGCATTATTGGTTTAGCCAGGGACAGCAAACTCATGAAAGATTAGGAGTGCCGTTAGGACAGTCTTTTGGGCACTGCTTGATTGGCTCTGTTATATCACAGTGCCGGATGAGGTCCGACTTGGTGTGTAACGGCACGTGGCGGGTCTTACCGAGACTCTCTAACCGTTCTGGTTTCGCTTTCGTGTGGCAGTAGTTGCGGCCCAAGGTGTCCTTGCTTCCACTTTGGCAAACGAATGCGTGTGTGGCCTGAAAAGAGCTTGTGCGTAGAGGTTGAGGCTGCGTGCACTTGTTCTGCTCTCTGTCTGCGTGCGTTGCCTTGGTTTTCTCGACAACCGCCTGCACCCCTTTTGGCTGTACTACCATTGAGAGCTGCCAGTATTCTGTTCCAATTGTTGCATCATGTTCCTCTTGCCTATCGAATTTCGTTCATCTTTCTGAAATTGCTGGGAGTAGAGAGAAGTGTCAAAAAGAGTTTTTTTACTTTTTTTTTTTGTGTTGTACACAAACAACACTACGGAGCAACATTTTTATTTTTAATGCGAAACAGAGGGGCAGCAGCCAGTGTTTTTGTTGCGTTTCACACTGTTTGTGGAGGGACATTGCTCATTGAGAGATGCTCAAAGTGTTGCTTGTGCAGCTGGTAAGTGACGTGCCATCTTCCTTGGCATGGATTTTGAAGGCCCGTAGACTCACACTTTGGCCTTCCCCGGTGGCCCCGTCTCCCAACACTTGGGTACCTCTGTCCTGCAGTTAACCAATCATTGGAACGTACCATGACGCCTCCAGTCAAGTTGGCTGACCTAGTGACTTGCGTTCCGAGGCATGCGCTAGGCCTCAAATAGCCAAATGCTTTTTCCAAATGCTGGCCGAGGTTGCTTTCGGTTGTTTTCTTCTTTTTTGGAGTAGGCAATGCCTTTGATGGCTTGTGGCTTCCCAAAGATTTTCTCTTTGTTTTCTGTGTTTATTAGGATGCAATTTTGTCGGTTTTAACGGGGCATTTTGCACTGTCTACTGCTTGATTTGATTTTAGTGCGGCGAGCGGCAGTTTCATCTACAGTAGTTGTGCAGACCTTCTAGGCTCTTGAAAATGCTGATGTTAAAATGAATAGGGTGTTGGTGCCTGTGACAGACGATTCCTACTTGGTGCAAGCTGACATCCTTGACGCTGTTGATTCAAGAAGCCTGGTTATGAGAAGAAACTGGCCAGGCAGACCCCTCATTGATAGTGTATATAAATCTCATAAGCCCCGTACGCAAGTCCAATACCTAAGAATTGTTCTGTCAGGTATCGGACCAACAGGCTTTAATCCTTTGCTCTATGTGGCCCATCTTTTTCTCTTTTTAATTTATTTTTTATTTTTAAAGCTTCGTGGCTTGTCTGTTCTTTTGTATTGTTTCTCATCATGTGACTAGGAGTAAATGACAGAGAATGAGTAAATCCCTTCGGTCATGACAAATTTGCATAGACTAGGAAGGAATACAAATGACGCATATGTAATCATCTACTTATAGTGCTTCTTGGCAGCTATTTTTTTTTTTTTTTTTTTTTGGTTTGCCACTATTTGCTTATGCCTGGAGCTTGAGGGTCATTTGGGGGTGCATCCAGTAAGTGGTATCATTGGAATTAGAGCTTTGTCATGCAGATTTATAACTTTTTGTTTGTTTTTATTCACTCGTTTCTTGTCTTTCTTTGTACTGCTTTGTTGATTTTTGCAGTAATACATATATCTGCTAACATGTTCATTTATTCAATTCGAAAGCATAAAATTGTGTTGTTTCTTACTCTTCATTCTCCTGCTACAAATTTTGTTGCAAAAATTGGCTAAAAAGACATCTGCATGTCACTGCACAATGTTGCCAATTAGGTAGATATGTAAATTCATACTTTCAGAAGCTGTAGTCGGCTTTTCATTTAATGAAACATGCCTTTCGCACTGTAAACAGGAACTCTGCTACTACTTTACAAGAATAGCTCCTGGAACCAAGAAGTAGTTTTTTGTGAAGCCTTCAAACGAAATTTTCATTACAGAAGTATGAAAGATTGAATGTGTTTCTCCTGTCTGCCTGGACATTAACCACTTGGTTGAATGTATGTGACAGACAGGCAGGACACCCTTTAAGGGCCAGTCCTGCCTCAACTTCTAGCTTTTGATTTAATATTGCATGCATACTGTAGCGTCTTCTGTGTGACTGGAGATCAGTTCTTTCTTTTGTCTTTCGCATACTGCAATGCTCTTTAGTTATAATCGTAAAACCACAATTATTTCTAACAAATATTTTCATTTCACTAATGAGTTTGTTACTGACATCTTAGCTCTAGTAATATTGGATATCTTAAAAAAAAAAAAGAAATGGCTATCACATATTGGGAGTATTCCTACAGTGGAAAAGCTGGTTTAAGTCATTTTCTTGTGCAATCTAAGTATTTTTTTAATTGATTTTTTTGTTTTTTTGTTTTTGAAGTTTAGTTTTTATTGTATATTCATTACGATCTGGTGAAAGTTCCTGTGTTCCCGAAATTAAAGCGTGTGTCTCTCGAGGTGTTTTGTTTCTGTGCTTTTCTGTTGCCTTGTTTCTCTTTTTCATTCTTGGTGCCTCTGTCAGACCTGTCACATTTACTCCATTTGTCATTTACGCATGCAGGCCTATCATTCTGATGTTTTGGCGAAACAAGTAAGTTGAAACTTTCAACCTATAGGCACGCGACTGCGACGTAAATGGCATGGATTTCTCTCTGTGCCTTGAGAAGAAGACTACTTTTCTCTCTCTCAGCCTCTCTCATGTCTACGTGGCATTTTGTTTGTGCCAGTGAACGTTCGTGCGCTCGAATCTGCGGTTAACTCGTAGAGAAGCATTCTTTGTGTCTCTGACGTCGTGTGCTGTGCTTGCATGCTGCTCTTGCTGCTGCCCTTGCTGCTGTTGCTACGGCTGCCGTGGTCTCGATTGCTCTTTTTTTTGGTGTGCTGTCTTTCAATTTGTCTCTGCAACGGCTTCCCACAATGACGTCGTGCGGCCTTGTGCTGGCGTCTGTTTGTTTGGTAGCTGTTGGTTCCAGAGAGAGCAGAGAGGCTTAGCTGTTTTGTGATGCCTGGTATGGTGCAGTCGCGTATAGACTCGTCTCGTAGGTATACTTGCTCGGAGTGGTGGTGCTGCATTGACATTCGTGAGCTTTTTGGTTTTTGTCGAGTGATTTGGCTGGTGTTCTGCGTCACTAACAGTCCGTTAGCTCCGTGGCGCGCTTATCTTGGCTTCGTCGGGACAGCCAATGCAGACGTCCTTTGTTTTTCTTTTTTTACACATTCTCCGCACACAAGCAAACTGATTGGAGGCCGTCATGAAGTCAAAAGTCTTTCTTCTTTATTTGTTGAAAATTTGCCAGATAGATGTAAGCCCATGCTGTAGCTTTGTAGTCCCCTGCTCTGGTACACGAGATGTGACGATTCACAATGCCCCTCGCGTTCCGGTGGCCCCCACAGACATCACCGAGACAGACCCTTGCTTGGCCACTGGCTTAATTCCAGTGCTTTCGTGTTGAGCTGCAGCCAACTTAAGTTACTGTGTGTCAAGACTGCCTTCAACATCATCAACCACAACAACAGCCATGACAAAACACCAGAAGTGGACAACATGCACCCTCCCCCACCCGCCACGAAGAACCAAGGGGACGGCGGGAAGACATCAACAGCGCAGCAGACCATACACCACCACACACTCGGCAGCACAACAGAACCTGCGCGGGACAGCGGCGAACATTGCAGACATGCGGACGTTGCATACTGACATGCTCCTTTGGTTGGTTTGTTTGTTCTGTCTGTTGTGTGCCTATTACTAGCTCATGGGCCCTCTGCGTCCGGAATCATCCTCAAGCAGGAGAGCGGCTGGTTGTGCTTTGGTAGAACTAGCCACAACAGGTGCATGTGGTCTTACTTTGACCTTTTTTTTTTTTTTTTTTTTGGTTTTTGGTTTAGTTTTTTTTTTGGTTTTTGCCACTCGGTCTCAAGTCGGTACCCACACCTAACGATCGAGCCTCAAATTAATTGCACTTGACCGTCCCAGTTGGCAAAGAGCGGCGATTCCAGGGATGGGTGTTGACTTGGAACCTGTGGCGTGTTTAGCTGCCGTATTTGGCAGCAGCATTATCGAAAGGCTCGAGTTGATCTTGTATGACGGGGAACCTTGTAAGTCTACCATGCATTGTGTGCAGTTTAGTGTGCAGCAAGTGCCACTCTTGAGCTGAGAAACCGAAAGCGGGCCTAGCTTTCGTAGACACTAGTGAGACAGCCCGCTGTTTGCAGGGACCGGTCCACGCATGGAGACCTTGGGGTCCGCAAGGCTGGCACTTGCTGCACCCGCCGTGGCCTCTTGCAGTGCATGTACTTGCATGCCAGCCATAGCACACTGTCTTGCCAGATATCTGTTGTAGTTGGCTTTCACGTGCGACCCCTCGTTGCGAGAGGTGTCGTTTATTTGCCGGTTTAAAAGAGCAAGTGAGTGTTGACGCACGGTGAGTTCAAGTGTCGAGCCTCCTCCCGTGTAGCACCTTGCATCAGCAGTGCCATTTCTGGCAGGCCAGCACCAGCGATGGCTTTCCCAGAGCCTCGTGCCTGCTCCTTAAATCTTAGCCTGGGGGTCCGAGACTTCCCGGCCCCCTTGACGAGCAAACGTGCGCACTGATGCTGCAACCTTGCCACACTCTTTTGATGCACTGCCTCCAGTTGCGTAGTCTTCGTTTTTCGCTCGAAAGAGCCGAGGCAGTGCCCAATGCTCGGGTGCCGCATTCTCATATACCACCTTGGGTGCTGTTGCATCTGCTTTGACTGCCATTTTTGAATATCTTTTGATCTGGCTGTGCTGCCTACTCTGTTCATGAGCTTTCTTGATTATTATTTTTCGAGCTTCTTTTGGTTGGTTCCTTTGTTGCATTTTTTTGGAACCTTCTCTCTCTCTCTCTCTTTCCATTTCTTTGGTTTGGTACTCACAACTTTTTTTTCTCCCCCCTCCCCATTTTTTTTCTTCCCTTCTCCCCACCCCCTTTTTTTTCTCCCCCTCCCCTTCTCTTCCCTTTTTTTCTGGCCCGTTTCAGATCCGAGTAGTCAATGCTTTCCGCAGTAACTTAGACGCACGCAATAATCCTGCCTACCAGACCGCGCTCCTGCGGAAGGCCTCTGCGGCTTCTCCCAGCGGCACGGGGGGCTTTGCCAGGCCCCAGCTGCACTCGCAGCCGAGCCAGCCGCAGTCTTCGGGCTCCGGATTTGCGTCCCCCAAGGAAGAGACTGCGCCAAGCACTGCCTCTGTCGCCGCGGCGGTCCCGGAGCCCCGGGCCCAGTCACCCCAATCGCCACAGCAGCCCCAGCCTCCTCAGCAGCTGCAGTCACCCCAGCAGCCAGCGGCACCTCCCCTCAAGGAAGGCGATGCAACATCCAATCACAGTGTGGAAACAGCTGTGTGAGTGTGATTTGCGCTCTGAAGGACGCACTGCCGCTCACGTGCTTCTCTCTCGTCTCTTTTTTTGTGCGTCCGTCTGTCCTCCCCCTGCCCTACCCATCGCTCGGGCATCTGGCAGCACTCCTTAGGTCTCGAGTTTGACTGACGCAAAGGGTTACTGTAAAAAATATGCGAAGAAAAAAAAAAAAGAAACAAAAAAAAAGCGAGGTGTTAGGAACGCATTTGGTCATCCCCGTCTACTACTACTACAACCAGCACGCACCAGTCTCACACACCACACTCTTAGGAAAAGTTTTTTCTAGCTCAAAGTCAAGGCAGCACGACACGGTTTCTCGGCCTCCCCCTAACCTCGACCCAAACTGCCAACGCGCTTGTCGACCGAACTGCCGTCTCTGGGACAGAGCATCTGCGAACACGGTCCCACTGTGTGCAGAAAAGTGGCCCACAAGACAGCCTTCATCGGTCCGCAAAACCCCGTAGAACTCGGGGCATTCCGGAAGCGGTACCGAGCGTGGACGCAACGGACACGTGGGCTATGGCAGTTGGCGGCGAAAGATATCTGTGCTCCCGCTCTGTCCTCTTCTGCCCTTCATCTCGTGCTTGCTTTGCATCCTTCCATTGGGTCCTTGGTTTTGTGTCTGCATTTTTTACGAGAACACTGCTCGAAGGACGTACCGAGTAGACGCCTCGGTCCTCCTTGGAGAAACGAATGCAGGGGACGCATGCTCTGTCGGTGGCGAGCGGAGCCATCGTGGTGATTGATTGTGTTACCACGCCTCTGTTAAGTTTGTGCATATTTTAATGTTGGGGGAGGGGGAGGGGAGGTCTTGTGTGTCCACGCTTTGTGCACCGGAAAACGACTCCTCCCATTTCTTTGTTCGTGAACTGCTTTTGGTTTCCTTTTGGTCTTTCAGTTCCTTGTGTAGAAATCAAATGGCGGTGGAAGCTTGTTGCACCACAGGATTGTTAGTTACATGCAGAGTTTGTCGGATTGTATGTTAGCCATATACAAATATAAATATATACATATATATATATATATATATGATGAGCATTTATTTTAGCATTACTCGCAGGACATGGGAAAAAGCAATCTAAATAATTAAAATAAATAGTAGGCAATGTTTTTTCGGTATTGAGGAGTTCTTTCGGTGGAGCTGGTGGTAGCAGAAATAGCAGGTACATGTCGCGTGCAAATGGCTCAAGTTCTTGACTCTTCAAAGAAGTAACATTTCTGTTTGCCCTGTTGAGCTAGTTTTGGTATGTTGGATGCTGCAACGGTTGCTTCCTTTCCTCACCGAGAGGCTCTGCTCTTCTCACTAACACCACCATCTCTGCCCAAGTCCACCCGCCACTGGTCCCCCCCTCGCAGTGTTTGTGTGCACGGACCGCCTCTCCCCAGGACCCCCGAGGCTGTACCATAGACGACGCGTACAAAATAAGGAAGGTTACTGTGTCTCCCAGGTGTGACTCCCCGGTCCTTCAACCTCGTAGTCACAGGTCCCCCCTCCCACTTTCAAACTTGTGAGATTCCATTTTTTCTTGATGTTTCGAAGAATTATTGCAGTGTGCAAGGTGTTGCTGAAAAAGACAAAAAACTGTGTGCTACATGAACATACCAGCTTCCTTTCCTTCTCCTCCTTGCATATATCTATAAACAATATTATATATATATATATATAAATTATACATGATATAAATATATACAGAGCTACACATGCCTAACCTTCCTCTCCTTATCCAGTTTCCATAAAAAAAAAAAAAAGAAGCGGTTTCCTTTTATCGCTTTCAGACTCGTTGTTATACATAAAAACGATGCGATTGGATGGCAATGCTGATGCCAGCTCTGCACTTGTACAACGAACATGTCAGGATCTTTTTCGAAGGAAGAGACTGAGTGAAGTTTTTTATGTTGGCTTTGTCCCCTCCTAAGTTTTTTTTTTTTTTTTTTTTTTTTTTTGTCTTTTGTGCATTTTGTCATGAAGGGTGTTTACGGCAGGAAGTCTGGGGGGAAAGACGCGGTGTGCTACAAGTCTCGGGAAACTGAGCCAGGGACGACGAAGGAACCTTCAAAGTTTTCCGCATGTGGTGCCTGACACGACGACTCAAAGGGTCTTTTTCTTTCTTCTATTAATTCACTTTCCGCAAACAATAGAGAACAGATAAAAGGGGTAAAACGAAATCCGGAGAGTTACAAGCACTGGACAGTGTGTGCCTTTTGTTGTGCAGGCGGACTGTATCGGAGCAGAAATAGTGTATGCGCAGCCTGCTGTCTAGAACTGGAAAAAAAAAAAGAGAAAAAAAAAAAGATTATGCAAGTCACCGGCTTCTTGGGAGGAGAGGACAAGAACTGAAGGTCAAGAGATGCTGTTGCTGCATAGTGGACTCGTTGCTTCTTTCATCATTTTTCTTTTCCCTTCTTAAGGCTCATTTTTGACTTGTTTTAACTGCTGTTTGGTGATTTTAGTTGGTTTTTATGTGCCTGTACATATATATACATGATGTATACAATGATAGAGACAAGCATACAAACATCCAAACGAGTGCCTGCATGTGTGGTCAGCTTTGAGTGGCCTCTGATGGATTGGTTGCCTGTCCACTGGAAAGAAGAGGTTCCGTTAAGAAAAGTCTTTTCCTAGCTATTCTTTTTTCTCCCTTGGACTGCTGTAGCACACTTGGTGATATGTGTTCACCTGAAAAAAAAAAAATGTTGCTTTGCTTTCGATTCCAAATCATCGCAAATGGCATCCTTGCCAACGAATGTAGCGGCAGAGTTGACCACACAAGTTAGCTTCAACCAGGTCGCTTGTCCAGAAGGAAAACCCGGCAGTGGCAGGAGTGAAACTAGGAAGGGCAGACGACAATGACATTGGAGAAACACATCAAATCAGCTGCAGTACTCGGCGGAAGCAGATTGCTAAGGCGTTGTGGAGGGGGAAACTCTGGGCGAAGCCTAGGTGCAGACTACCTCATTGGAATTCGGCACTCAAACTTGGTTCTGCTTCCTTCGGTTTCTATCCCCCCACCCCTTTGCTTGTTTCCTGCCTTGCTTCGTCTAAGCATCAGCGATGGTTTGCTTGGTTAAGTTTTTGTAATTTATTTGTATCACGACACACTTTGTAGCACCAGTTACCGGCATGACACACAGGACACAAACACAGTTAGCGTGAGCGTGGTTACGGGCGCGGGAGGGTTCAAAGCCTCCGACGACACCCTGGGCAACTAAAGGAGGTTTTAGTTGCGGATAACTGTGAGACGACGCTTCTCTGATTATTGCTGAATCATGTTGCATTGCAGGAACTAGCATAGTTATTACCAATTGCTGTTACTGTTATTATACATGTTTAGTTCTTGTTTGACTATCCATGATCTCATTTCCAAGAGCAAGCTCTGCTAGTTGCATGCAACGGGCAGAATGAGTGGGGGAAAAAACGGATTTCTTTGGACATGTAACTTACCTTAGAGGCTTGTTTCACTTCTGCCGACAGATTTGCGACAATTTAAAATATCACTAAAGCTATCTCTAGCAACTGTAGGCATCTTGTATGGTAAGGATACCATTCTAGGGCCCATTTGAACTTTTTAAATGCTACACACAATTGTGGTGTTAGAGGTTAGATGTATTTTGCCTTTAAGTGTCTGACGTCCATCGTGGTCAACTTTGAAAAAAAAAAAAAATGTCTGGGTGATTTCTTTTTCTTCAAGGTAGAGCTCACCCCTGTAATCATCTGCAAAGCAAACTCTTGTGTTTCTCTTAATTTAAAAGGGCCTTGCTTGATCATACATTGCTGTGGTTTTAATCGCAACACAAGCTTGGGCATGAAGAGAAACCTCAAAATTGCGAGAGCGTGTTTTGGCATGCCTAGTTTCCAACATTGTTTTTCGGATTATCTCTTTTGTAACCGAATCAGAAGTGAATGTTCTAGAATAAAACAAAAGTTGAACCAAGTAAAACACTAGAGCCTGTGTGTTATTCCTAAAGCATGTCTGCTCTTGTTTTCTAAAGGGTAATTTATGCAACCATGTATCGGGCATCTGTCGCGTGAAGTGCTTTGCATTTGAACCATTGTGCATCACTCAAGGGAACGACTGTTCGATTTCCACTGTAAATGATTCATCAACTTCATCTTCTGTTGCGAAATAAAGTTACCCAGCTCTTCAGCAAGACTTGTCCCATTTTTCACTCCCCGGCAACGTTTCTGTCAGATACGCTTATATCTTACTCGAAATCCACACCAAGCACGAGTTTAATCAAACTCGGACCAGCCCCTCTTCCCTCCCTTTGGGAAAACTATGGTCTCTTGACTGCCGCTTTGGAAAGATATCTAAGACACAAAAAGGAGCTCTGGCAGGAGTAGGGTATACTACTAGAGGAGAGTGGGTTGCCCGTGTCACTTCGTCGGCAACGTTTCATCTACAGCCCCTTCGTCGACTTCTCGGGAAACGCACCAAGTTTCGCCAGTAATTTTTTGGATGGGTTGATTTGATTTGCGATTCACTTAGCTCGCCGGAACTCCACTGACACGTGGCAGTCAGCGCCAGGCCGTGCCAGTTTCGCTTTTGGTTAGGCACTTGCTTCCTGTTTCTTCATATGATCTAGATCCCTGCGCGGATAACAGATTGATCATCCAATCCGCATCTGCAGACTTCGTGTCCGCAATGTTCTTAAACTGATTGTATCCGATCCGTATCTGCAGACTTTGTATCCGTATCTACCCTTCATCCGCGCATTCGTTTTGCATCATAAAATCAAGCATGAATAAAATTTTTAAAAAGCACCTGAATGTCGCGTCACGGTGCGGTGGTGGCGCGTCGGGCGCCTCACAGTGGCCGCACTTCCGGTCTTGGGCTGTGGACGAAAGTCGCCATGCGGGACGTGCATTCCTGTGTTTGCGAGGAGATTTTTTCATGCGTTTTCTGCCTGCTTGCTTCGTCCGAGAACGTTGATAGGTGCCTCGATAAATAAAAACCAGACACCGCCGGACCACGTTTGCTTGTGTGGGAAGCGCTTTGGGTTGAATTCGTAGATGCTTGTCGTCAGATTTATTTGTTTTGTTCCAACATGAGCGCGGAAAAAACGCCAAGTTGTACGGACCACCTGCGGTCGACGTTCAGTACGTCTTCATGTTCCAATGGCTGTCCGATCGTTTGAACCGGCGTCTGCTCTTTCAAACATTTCTGCTTGTTAATTGTCGCCTGCTTGTTCAAACGACAGCGGCCCCGTAGACCAAACGTTGACCCCGTCATTGCGATAAAAGTAATTGCAGGTTGGTTGGGGTAGGTAGGCTCGGTGTAAACAGCTAGTAGATACAAGGAGATGTACGTTGATCATTGTTTACAGTGGCCATCACCGACTTGTTATGCCTGATTCACTTGGTCCAATTCTGCTTGCGATTGTCGGTATCGACGTCGGCCATCTCAGCTACAGTCCACGATTTCGCAGCCCGGGCAACATCGCAACTAAAAATGAGCAGAATCTCAACATACGAACTAGGTTTTAGAGCCCATTCTGCGGCATCCACGCGGAATGAATTGCCGCATGTCACGTTATTGACGCGACGTTTCGCGATCTGCTGGGCGCATGCGCCGACTCTGAGAGAGGAGGAAAGGGAAAGGCGCCATTTTTGGTGGCTCTCTCTCGTCCGCCCGGTCGCTCAGACCTCGGACAGTGCTGGTTAGGCTTGACTCCTCTGCTATTCTCGCGGCTTGACTTCATAGCCTCACCACCGCGCAGCAGAAGGTTGCACAAATAGCAGCAAACATTGTTTAAATGCCAAATTTTATACAGTTCTAGCAGTCTTTGGCGGGTGGTGCACGAAATCACCCGATGTCAAACACCCCGGCCTTTTTGCCCTGCTGTCAAAAGCCTGTGACGAGAGTCCCCCGTATGAGGCGGCTGGATCATCAATGTGACGGCGGGACATTCTGCTTTTAACTAAAATACAGTAAATGTGAACATGATGGTATACCTGAAATTGGGGTAGTATAAGGAAAACGCAAAAGGAGACAGAAAAAAATATAACAGGCAACGTCTCTTGATACGTTGTCCGTTTTTCCTTTGCGTTTTCTTTTTCCTACTTCAGTCTCAGGTTTAATAATTGAAAATGGGAGTGTTGGTGAATAGATACGAATACATGAAATGATAAAATATCAAGGACGGGGACGGATACAGGACTTCTTGAAAGAAGTACTCTTTCCGTCCCGGTCCTCGATGTTCTCCTCGTTGATGTATTCATATATCAAGTTTTCCATCATGTTAAACTTACACCAGCTCGCATGCACTCTGACCATTTTTTGTTAATAGTAAATGTGCACACAAGGTTGTGTCGTAATCATGCCGTACCCGGTACTCATAAAATAACAACATAAAGCTTCCCGTTCTTTAGGCGTGCGCAATATCCATTCGCGTCTTGCCACGTTAAAAAAACTGGCAAAACATTTAAAGCGAGCGAAACGAATTTAAGCCTTACGGAGACAGACCCTTCATGGAATTTCTTGGCAGCTAACTGTAAACTCCCCCGTTTGCTGGGCCCACTTTGTCGAAGGCTCGTAAACGTGCCGAATTCAAAGAGAGACTGTTTCTAACATACCGTTCCTTACTTTTGGACGGTGCAGGCAAGCCTTCGCGATGTCAAGACGGCCCGGATTTCGCACCGTCCGAGTTTGTTTACACATTCCTGAATACGGCGATGCCCCGTGCACTCGCGCGGTATGCAGGACGGCGAAGTAATGGACCCGATAAGCTTGAATAACTTAAGCAAGCAAGGAGAACAAAATCAGCTGTTTGTAGTACGGGGCCGGGCCTCATAGACGGAGCTCACAGGATCCGCACAAGGTGGATGGTTAGGTCGGTATCCAAACTGGACACCATTATTTTGCTCACATAGCACTCTGCGACTCTGCCTTCAAAGCCGACCCCTTTTTCAGTTGCTTGCAAGACGCGACACCGAAGTGACGATTAAGTGACTCCGAGTCGATGGTAGGAACCGATGCGGCGTCGGCGGTCTATGCATCCCTGAAGGTGTAAACACGAACGAGGTCCTCTGCATCGTGGACGTTGACTTTTGTTAATCCTCCAGGTCGTTCTCAGCCATTTCGAAGAAATGCACGCGAAGCGACGACAGAAAGACACGTTCAGATTGGTGAAGGACGGAACAACGCCACCAGAGAACACGTAAACAGATGGACCAGGTCGAGTTAAGCCAGGCCTGACGCGGACGGCGGAGAGATGGTCCCGGAGCCACCAAAAGTGTTTCGAACGATTCCCGCGAGGGAGCGCCACGGTCGTGGCCAAACTATGAAAAAGGTCCATCTCGCTGAAACCGCTAAAGTAGTCCGACATTGCTAGGAAGACGTGGAACAAACAATTCCAATGCGAAAAAGAGCACGGGTACTCGCATCGACGCCGACAATGTCGCCTTCCAATGGTTTATTTATCAGCGACGGCGTGCTTGCCCACACTCTGTGGTGCCTGGAGCGTGCCTCCGACTGGAGTGTTTAGCGTCCTATCCCGCCCATACATCAAAAGTGCTCCCAAAGTGGCAACAAATGACGTCGCAGAAGCCGGAGTGCCATGCTGTTGCATGTCGCGATCCTGGCGGTTGGTCGTAGAAATGCTGGTGAAAACCACAGGCGAACGCGAGTGTCGCTGTCGTCACGGCGTTCCAGGCATCCCCACTTCCGGCTGCTTTAGCTTCCGTGGGCTGCCGCTTTGGAGAGCGACCTGCAGCAGAACAGGCGTCTGCCACATGCACCACAGCTATCGGGACGCCGCCAGGTTCGCGACCGGCGACAGCATGACACTTCTATTACATCATTAGGCGGAAATCGAGGGACCACTTTTTTGGACCCGGTAAACACACCAGTCGGAGACGCGTTCCATGCACCGTACCACACTCCATCGCGCATATGTGCAGTGCCGGTGGCATCCGCTAGGGGCACTCCGGTTTGTTTGTAAACATGAGCTGCTTACCTTTGTACAAAAAACTATTCTGGTCAGTATACGGTGAAAGTCATTTTATCTTATCCTGTTTTATCGTATTTATAATATAAGTGATCATCCTTCCAGAGACACTTCGCATCGCTGGAAAGATGATCGCAGTTGTGATATCTTCTTCGGAGTCCGTGGCTCTGCCACTCTGCCCAGAAGATGCGCTCAAAGGAGAAACAATTTAATGAAATAACTGCTGTTATATTAAAACATATTCATATTGCACTAAATTTTACTCTGGGCGGCAGTTTGCGGCTGCTCGTTACGAAACTATTAACCCACTTGGCCCCACCGTACAACCAGCAACCCAAGCTAACCCAATACGCCGGAAAGGGAGTCCCATACTATTTAGTTCAGCAAAGTTTCGTCGACGACATTCGTTTTCTTTTTTGTTTTTTTTTGTATTTTTTCAGTGTTGTAAAAAAGAAATGTAAATGTCGCCGAATGCCCATAAAAAAAAAGAAAGAAAGAAGTAAACACGTTTTCTGGATTGAACCTGAGTCCGCTGCGTATGAAGCAGGCACCTTTCCACTAAGCGACCCACCAAGTTTTGCATCGTGCGTTTAGTCATTTCCGGTCGAGATGCACGTGCTAGCTTAACCAGTATTTAAAGTACCTACGGTCATTTTTGTAAAATATGCTTGTAATGGAGCAGGCATAGTTTCTGACTGCTTCAACTCGCTTGGTGCCAATTTCAAAAATATGCACTCCCGCGAAAAAAGGACATGATTCTTTATTGGGACAAAACGACGGGACGGCAGAAGCGGAGCTCAAAAACGGGACTGTCGCGGCCAAAACGGGACGTCTGGTCACCCTATCTTGTGGCCCAGTGACAAACCGTGGGTTTTGGTACCTTTTCTGTCGCCGATGCGGTTTCGCACCTTTCGTGTGCCGACGTGTTTTCGCTCAAGGACTTTGAAGGTCGACTGAACGATGAGACATATAAGGTACATATCACAATATTCAATAATGCATATGTCGGTTAATTGCGTGCTCGGAACCGTATACTTAACCACAACTTGGTGCCAACTGCAGAGAAAAAGAAAACGCACACACACGCCACGCTTCAGTTGTCGAAGTTGCTTTGTAGAAGAAACAAAATATGGTCAACATGGACGGAACCAGACTATTCGCCTCTCTTAAATTAATACCCGCTAACGAGAAGTATCTC